GTATGTATGTATGTATGTATGTATGTATGTATGTATGTATGTATGTATGTATCTATCTATCTATCTATCTATCTATCTATCTCTGTCTCTGGTTCTTCCTCTCCCCATTCACTCATTCTCCCTCTTTCTATCAGTCACTCTAGTTCACTGTCTCTGTCTCTCAATCCATCCATCTATCCATCCATCCATCACGCTAAACGTTCTCCCAAAGACATTAGTTGTACAAATTGACTTATGTAGAATCTATTATAGCGACGGACTGCGACTTGTGCCTGCTGCCTACGTTTCGGCACAAGTGTGTCCTCTCTCTCTCTCTCTCTCTCTCTCTCTCTCTCTCTCTCTCTCTCTCTCTCTCACGCGCGCGCGCGCGCACACACACACACACACACAAAGATACACAAACACATGTGACACCTTTTGCACAAAGGCACATACACACATGCAGACACACATACACAATTGCACATATTATACTATACACGTGGCACTAGCGTTAGCATGCGTAAACACAGGCGGACACGCGCACACACACACACACACACACACACACACACACACACACACACACACACACACACACATACACACATGTACACACAAATGTACAAATAAACAACAATTCAAGAGAGTATTATGAAACAATTGTAATTGAGAACACCTATTTTCGTATTTCAGGAAGCTTCCTCAAAATGTTTGCTGTGACGTCCAAAACTCATTTCGTGAAAAATGCAGTTGTCATCACCAAGAGCAAGGTACAATGTGATTTCTGATATCATGAGCCTTTTAAACTAAAAAAGGGTACACGTATTTCCTTCATCATCATCCGGTGCCTTGCCAACTGGCGTGGGCTATCATGGGCCTCCACTTCCATCTGTCTTGCGTTGCAGCAATGATGTCTGTTGTTCTTGCTGCTCCCAGCCATGTTGTCAACTTGTCCTGTATCGTTTCCCTCTCTCTGCCTCAGCCCCTATTTCCATCAAACCTGCCTGTTATTACAATAATTTCAAATGCTTCTTTCCGTATTGTGTGTCCAATGAAAGTTCCCTGTTGCTTTTGTATATTCACAATAAGCTGTCATCTGCAATTTGCTTCAACCAAGACTTCTTCATTTGTTTTTTCTAGCTCTCTACGGGATAAACGCAGCATGCATTTTATGAACCACAACTCTGTTCTTTCCAGCTGTCTATTGATTGTCCATGCTTTGTACCCGTATATTAGGATTGGCTCGATGTAACTTCTCAGCACTCTTTTTCTTGTTTCCAGTGGCAGATTGTTGTTTGTGAGTATCTGTTTCATTTTGTGGAAGGTTGCTTTTGCTTGGCAAATGCAGCTTTTAATTTCGATGTGACATCTCCCATCTGATCATGTAATGGTCCCCAAATATTTAAAATGTTGTACTTTATTGAGGGTGGTATCACTGATTTTGATATTGCAGGTTGGGGTTGGAGTCTTTCTGCTTATCATCATTGTTTTAGTTTTCTTGATGTTTAGGCTTAGGCCCATGTTGTCACTCTCTTGAACGATGGCATCTGATAGATTCTGTAGGTGTTCTTTATCTTCTGCTATTAAGACTGTGTCTTAGATTGTTTACATTATGTCCCCCTATCCAGATACCTGGAATTTCTTCTATGTGTCTCATGATATTTTCACTATACAGGGAGAACAAGTCTTGTGAAAGTACACATCCCTGTCTGACTCTTCTTTTAATATGTACGTATTCGCTGATGTCGTTTTCTATTCTTGTTGCAGCGGTTTTATTCTAGTACATGTTTTTGATAATCCTTTAGTCCTTCGTGTCAATATTTAGGACTTCTAGCATGTCGATGATCTTGTCGTGCCTAACTTTGTCGAATGCCTCGGCGTACTCTATGAAGCATAAATGAAGATCTTTCTGAACTTCCAGGGCCATTCTATTGTTGTACTGAAGACATATATGGTATAACAGTTCCTTTGCCTTCAATAAATCCACACTGTTCTTTGGTTGTTTACGGGAGAATGTTATTTCGTATTCTCATCATAATTATTCAAAGAAGTATTTTTGTTATGTGTAATTCACATTCATTTGCATTAGGTTTCTTTAGTAAAGCTATGAAGATATATTTTGACAAGTCTTATGGAATATGTCCCGTGTCATACATGTTGTGTAGAAGTTTTGTCAGTGTGGTGATTCCAAAGTCCTCTAAAGCTTTTCTCATCTCTGTGGTAATGTTGTCAGGTCCTGCAGCTTTTCCATTCTTCACCTACCTTTCATAATTTCTTCCTTCATGATTGGTGGGCCCTCGTTGTTATTTTCCACTCTCCTTTGTTCATCTCTATTGTCATTGTATATATATTCAGTCCAATGTTTCAGTGTCTAATCTTTATCCATGATGATATTCCCATCCTTTGATTTGAGGCGTCCTGTTGATCCACATATTCTTGTATGGCATACCTCTTTTTAATTTTTCTGTGCAGATCTTTAGAGTTCGCACTGGAATGATTTCCCGTTTCCTCACATTCTTCTTTTTACCATGTCTCTTTTGCTAGATTACATTTGCGTCTGATTTCTTCGTGAAGATTCACATATTCTTCCTGATTGTTTTTGTTTGTCCTTCGTTCCTCCATAAGATTAAGAATTTCTTCGGTCATCCATTTCTTCTTTGCTTTTGTTGTCCTTTCTGGTATAACGTCTTTTGCATCCTCATTTAGAGATATTTTAAGTTGCTCCCATTGTTGTTCTGTTTTCTATTTCTTCTAAGGGGTCGAATTTGTTCTGTGCAGTTATTCTGAATTTATCTTGCATTTCTTTGTTTAACTGGAGTAATGCCATGTTTAGTTCCATCTTCTTGTACTTGCTCATGTGTGTATTTCCTTACTATCTTATAATAAGATTATTCTCTGGCTTCTGCAATTATGCCGTCTTACGACATTAAAAAGTACGCTAAACATGAAATTTTACAAGCGAGGAAAAAAATTAACTTTTTTTGTGTGCGTTTCAAATAAACTAAAATTTGCTCAATCTGATTATTTTATGTCAATATTTATTGGCTGGTCTAACTTTTGTCTGATGTGCTGAGGTATACAGTAAATAGTTATGGAATTATTGATTAAAAGTTCTTCTGTATTAATGATATTGATATGTAATTAGGTCACAACACATATTTTCAAATACCCAAAACTTTCTTACTTTTAATTGTGTAGCCATAATACCAAGATAGAAAGTCATGCCAGGGAAAGGGCTCTCTCTTCTGTATAAAAAGGCTACATTTACCTAATTACGCTTATACGTTTTTTTTGTCATAAGACAGCAGAATTATTGAACATTTCTCAAGTAATGATGATGATGGTGATGAATACGATGATGCTGACGATGATCGTGATGATGATGATGTACTATCGCCCTGCGCCAATTATAAAAGGGAAGCAAACAGAAACAGAATCGCACTTATTAGCCCCCTCCCCACGAATCAAACACAACTGGAAAAACCAAACCAAACCAACCCCCCCCCCCCCTTTCTCCGAAAAAGCAAAGCTTTCTCCGCATTCACCATAATATTATGTCTTCAGGTGAGCGTGTCGGACTGTGCAGTGCTGTGTATTCAGGAGAACACATTCCAGTGTCAAGCCTTCGACTACCAGTTCACCGAGGGAAGCTGTCACCTCTCGAATATTCACCCAGACCAGCAGCAAAATGCGACAGGGCCGGACGTGTACTCGGACACATACTCACGTATGTTCATCACCGGGTGGGGGTGGAGGGGGGGAGTGAAGGTGGGAGGTTGTTAGGGCAAGGATCGGAGGTCACTAATCTAAAGCCCTCATGACACCATGCAATGAGAAGAACTTGATAGATGTGTTTGTAGAGCACTCAGGACTTGGTCACTATATTAATAAAAATATAATTACAGTCCAACCTGTTACGACTGCCACCTGTGCATACGGCCACTTTCCATTTTCCCTCTTGCATTTTTTCTATACAATTGAATTGTGTAAACGGTCTCCTGTCCATCGCTGCCGCGGCCGTAATTTACCTGTCTGGTACGACCAGTTGTCTTTGTTTCGTCGCCCGACGCTTTGTCATATATTTTTAATCGGCCCCTGATGCTATGGACGGGCCGTCATAACCCATTCACGGTCGTTTTGTTGGGAGGACATCAGAGCCGCTCACTTTCGAGAAAAAACTGTCAACGCCGCGCACTATCAGAGCCACATATTTTTAACGATATCAATACAATAAAGATTGCCGATTACCAGAATAGCACCATCCAACAATTTAAGTTTTAAGTACCCTCAGCCTTTTACTGGGCTTGGGACCAGATATCGATTAGATTTTATATTGAAAGAATATACTTTTCAAGCAACAACAAAAAACACCTATATTTACAGGACAATAATTTTAAAGATCCCTTACACATTAGTATAATATTCTTCTTAATATGTATGCATGCGTGTGGGTGTTCGTATGCACACATGTATGTGTGTGTGTTTGTGTGTGTGTGTGTGTGTGTGTGTGTGTGTGTGTGTGTTGTGTGTGTGTGTGTGTGTGTGTGTGTGTGTGTGTGTGTGTGTGTGTGCGTGTGTGTGTGTGTGTTTTCCAGAGTATTTGTGGATGTGTGCATAAGTGTTATAGATTTTTTTTTTAATTATGGGAGGGGGGCAATACTAGGACAGATTTTTTTCCTCTGGTTAAAATCTTGCATGTACCTGTATCCTGAAAGTGTGCCTGGTCTCATCCTCAGGTTTTTACACTATAGAGTACACGAAATTCCCTGGAGAGGTTCTAAAAGACGCCCCAGACAAAACAGTGAGCAACGCTGCGTCGGACGAGATGTGCGCACGTGCATGCACCATGGAGACGAGCTTTCGTTGCGAGTCCTTTGAGATTTGCTCAATCCCCACAGCCACGTGCGCACTGAGGAAAACTCATAGGCTGTCTGTCAAACCCAATGACACGCAATTCAGCTCTGGCTGTCTGCTATACTCGCGTAAGTCAATGTCTCTTTATGCGCCATGCGATGTCACACTTTGCAGTCAATAGCGATGAGTCGCGAAGTCTGCGGCCGTAGTGCAGCAAGTATTCTGCTACAGGTTAAACTGTCGTCTGAAGATGTATTTATGCTACAGGACAGTTCGTTATTGTTGAGGTCTGTGAAGAAGATAGGAATACATAATGTACACCCGATAAATAGAGAAAGACGGCAATTTGGTGAATACCACCACCTTTTCTGTGAATTGAAAAAGGAATTCTGGCTTTTGAAAGACCGGTGTAATCTTCATGATCCAATATTGCCAGAGGAAAGGCTAGTTATTACTTTGAGGTGAGTGGAAGTGCTATGTTACTATTTTAAGTTTATAATTTTCTAAATCATTATAGTCATATCACTTATCATCATCACCACCATCACCCATCCTCCACCCCCCACCCCCCCCCCTCTCTCTCTCTCTCTCTCTCTCTCTCTCTCTCTCTCTCTCTCTCTCTCTCTCTCTCTCTCTCTGCTCTCTCTCTCTCTCTCTCTCTCATTTTTAACAACATTTAACGAAATTAGTTCATGCTAACATGATTGATACAGTTCGATCACGTGTAATGTGGGGCCGATGAGTAAAACGCAAAACAATTAAAGTAAAGAAAAAATTAAACGAGAAAAGCTAATGATTTCTTAATGAATTATTAGCTTTTTTTTGTTTCAGAGATATAAAGCAAAACATTCATGTCCGGGATCGAATTTTCGCGTAACCAGCGACTGGCGGCGGGCAAGAATGGCCAAGACATTCCGGTACAATTACTACGCGGGTTGCCTGCAACCAACCTCTGGTAATACGCATTAACTTCGGACGGTTTCGAACTAAACAAAAGACACTACTCAAAGCGGGCATCTGCAGTAACTAGCAGAAAATCTGCCACACTACGCCGCGCACTATGGAGAACATACTCTTAAGTTGCTCTAAGGAGCCCGTGTGTGTGTATGTGAGTATGTGTGTGTGTGTGTGTGTGTGTGTGTGTGTGTGTGTGTGTGTGTGTGTTTGCGCGCTAGCGGGCGTGAGCGTCAGTATGAGTGTGTGTTTGGCCCCTATTTATCTCACTTATTCATCCACTCATGCCCACGTCCTTCTAGAAACCAACTGTTTTGCCTAAAAAATCTGTTCATCTTAGCATCCATCCTTTCACCCCTTCATCTATCCACCAATTCCTTAAGCGATCCTTACATCCTTTCGTCCTTTTGTCCACTCGGGTAGCGTTGTCCACCCCGATCAGTTGCCTCAGAAAATAAATTATTTATCTTTTCTTCTTTTGACCACGAACGCCAGGCAATCATCTCTTCGACTTCACTTCGAGGGAAAACAAGGTTCTCCAAGGTCACGACGACATCCAGACAGTCGTTTCGGATCCTAGCGCTTGCGCACAAGCTTGTGCGGCGGGAAGTCTCCTCCCAGGCTGCGCCAGCTTTGAAATGTGTCAGAAAGATCGAGGGGAGACAACTTGCACATTGTCCACGGCTGACCCAACAACTGATACTGCACTGACCATAGCTGATAGCGAGGATTGCTCTCTGTACACCCGTGAGTAAGCCATGCGTGATATAGGTAACGTCAGTTGCCGTTCGTCATGCGTCGCTCTTCACTCGTCGCTAATGAAGTAATGAACACATTGCGAGATTAGAGAGATGAGAGATGACACACCGTTCATGTTTTAAAAGCCGTTCGGCGTTTGATACAAGCAGCTGAAAGTTGCAGTCACACAAAAAAAGCTATTGTCATTCTCCATAAGCAGCTGACCTCACCTCATGTGACTTCCCTCATATGCATTTGACCCTCTGTACAAGTTGTTAATAATAAAATACGCATTACATGCTTATTTTGCTTTGTCTTCCATTCACCCTTGGACAGACTGTGAGCACATCTCAACTATTATAGGCCTTGTAAAATTTTGAAACTTTCGTCAACTATGGCGACTGAAGAAGAACCTCAAGATGTTGAAGAGGTAGAAATAGACACTAATATAAGGTAAATTCATTTGGGTTTTTTTATCCTTTATTTACGATGCTGTAGATCCAAAACTTTTTCATTTCTTTGAACAACTTACGGTATTCTTCAACTTTACACGTTCCGCAAGAATTGGCCGCACATTTTGAACGTTGTTTATTTTTTTCGTTGATTATTGTCGACATAATCACCATAAATAAATAATTGTTGCCTTTTCCGCCCTTCTGTTTGAAATTGGGAAACGAAGTGTTTGAAGTCATGGCGGGGAATATAATTTTTCTCGTGTTACAATCTGCGTGTACCTGGTGACTTGAAACAAAGGATGTGCTTGCTAGCGGCGTAAGGAAAATGCAGACTGCAGCGAGTACGAGTGACATGTGACGAGTGACTCTCTCTGTTTAGTGTAATGCCGCCTGACTATAGCCTAGCTTTTTCACTTTCGTCTGATCTCGGCTAAAACAAGTTAAAACCAAATCGCTCTGTTTAATGTTCTCAGATCTCAGCACACTTGTCGAAAAGTTGGATAACTAACAGAATATAAAAGCCCATACATAAAAATGTCCCTGTAAACTAAGGTTACGACATGTTTTCTTTGATGTTAGCCTAAAACAGGTTTAAAAAATCATACAAGTTAAATTTACAAAATTGACATAGATCTATGATACTCATCAACACCACATTGATTTTGCATGTACGCCTAAAAAGCATGGTCCAAGAAGGGTAAATACTTTTAGTCTGGTCGCGGTTAATAGAAGATCAAATGAAAACGCACTGTTTAATCTTCTCAGATCTTTGCATTCGGGTCTAAATGTTGGGGGGCCAACAAAATCGAAACGCCTATTCATAAAAGTCATTGTAAACTAAGGTTCCGACCCGTTTCCTTTGATTTTAGCTAAAAGTGTTGGAAAAAATATTAGGGAATTTACAGCATACACTATGCACCTAAAATGTTGCAAAGTTGACACATTTTCATCAATACCACACTTCACAGTACGCCCAAGAAACACGATTAAAGAGGCGGGGGGTGAATAATTTTTTTGACTCACGTGGAGCACGTGGAGACATCTTGGCACCCGGGGGATGAAATCTACAAAGTTTACACTAAAATGTGGGGGTAGTTGTTTCAAAATGAGCAATATGAAGGCTAGGTTAGTGTAAGTCATTTATTTTAATGACCACGTGTATGCAGTCAAAGAGCAGCTTTTAATATAGGGCCCTTTCTGAAAAAAATATTTTTGTTTGCCCGCTGGCCTGCCATGTGGGCATAGGTAAATTAATAAATGTGCTAGATTTTTTTTTTAAAGATGGGCAGACGGAAATGAACAAACCATAGACAGTCGTAGGATGAAATTTACAAGCTTACACTGATATGCAGAGGCAAGATGGTGTCGCTGTTGCAGAGTGAGTCATTTGGTTACTGTAAACTGTAAATAATTTATTTTTAGTGATCCTGGGTATACAACTACACAGCAGATTTGAATATACGGCCCAAATATAAAAAAATCCCTTTAATTTGTATTACTGGATCAAGATTGAAACCCCCTCAACAATGTGTTTGTTCGTTGGACTGCAGAATTGCCTTGCAAAGTTTATGTAATTGAATGATACAATGAGCTTGGATTTTTTTTTTTACGGGGATAGACGAAAGAGAACAAGTTATTACATGCGTGCTTTTGTTTAGTATAAGATTCGAACTGTGGAAGAACTCTGAATAGTGATGGTATTATGTGTGATGATTTGTTTACGTATAAATTCAAACTCTAAAAGTATGCAATATATGGTTTCGATATCATATGTGCTTTGTTTTCGTATTTCCCCCCTCATTTCCCGATAAAAATGAGATCAGGCTGCTCTCGACAGAAAGTATGCTTTACAAGAAATAATTCCTTCAGATTTAAATTCATGTGCGATTCGAGTGTTACACAGCTTTTAGTATACACCCCTAAACAGCCATTATATGCCATGTAATGCCATGCCATGCCATGATTCGAGGTGTGCCTCCTAGTTACTTTTTCCTGCGTTATCTCAAATATCATCGCCAATGTTGTTTTAGCATTTCAAAATAAACTTTAGTATGTAACCTTTTCAACATACGCTCCATACTCCATGAGGTCTACGCATTTTTCCATGTGATACACCCTGAGTTTGAAAACCAGTATTACTTAGTCTAAGGCTCTATTTACTTTCATGGCGCCTCTTAAATCTCATCTTCTTCTTCAAATGTCTGACCTCGAAGCGTTTTTGTAAGTGTTAGGTGGTTGTTGTTTTCTAAATTTCTACGAATGGCTGGTCTTATTTACCTCTTCTTATTACTAACCAGTGGTCATTGACCACCTCGCCAACTCAAAATTATGCCTGTATTGTCAAGAACACTTTACTATATCATAATATCGTTTTTCAAGATCAAATATACACTTAAGAAATACAAATGTCACATAGCAAGATCAAATGTCACATAGAAAGTTTCACGCCACTTAGAGTGTCCAAATATACAATGGGAAATTTTAGTGCCTACCAAGTTCAAATGTGAAAATAGCAAATCCAAATGTAACAGAATAGGGAGTTGTAATGCTACATAGCATGAAAGCGACCAAGCAGATTACTCAGTATAAGCAGTATCTGCTCATACTGAGTTGATATCCTTTTATGGTGAATTGATAACCATGAAAAAAACACACCGAGAATGCTCCGGCGGAAAGAAATTCTGATTAGATTAAAGCAACCTGATATCAATATACAGTATGGCTTATACGGATAATTTACGGGTATAAATTGGTCTTCATCGATGAGGCTGGTACGACATCAGCCTTTGTGGCTTCTGAATTTCCCAGGTATAACATTTGAGATTTCAATGTTTTCATTTGAACTTATTATTGTTATATTATTTATTTAGACTTTTTATGACGTTATAATTTGCACATTTGGATTTCTTATGTGTTATTTAGTCTTTATATGTGGCATTTGTATTTGTTATGTGTATGTCTGAACAATGCTATAAAGGCATGAATTTGATTCCTCTTTATGTTTTTACACCATTATTATAGTTAGCCTATGGGCAAGTGACATAAACACACCTTTTTGAACCGTCATAGCCCACGTCTAAACGATATGACAACAGCAACGTTTGGCCAAGATCCCTAATACACAGTTCTAGGACATCATAAAACTTCAGCGTTCTAGGTAGAACGGTTTGGAAGTTCCACAGAAGGAAATTTCCTTAATTCAAAAACTTGCTTTGTGCTTTGCAAAATTTTCCGATTAATTTTATTTCTCAGGAGCTAACAAAATACCGAAAGTAAACCCTTCAGCGACAACCAGAGCCAGCCAGCCTACAAGTAAAGAGCCCATCCCTTCTACGCCTGAGCCAAAGCTGAACTCTTCGCCCCAGCCTGCAAGCAATAAACCTCCCACTTCTCCATCGCCTCAGCCTAAGCAAAACTCTTCGCCTCAGCCTCAGCAAAATTCTTCACCTCAGCCTGTTCAGAATTCGAGTAAGTAAAGAAATGGTACATACCAGGTGATGCCCCCGGGGCAGTGCCACTGACTGAAGTGTCTTTAGGCCATTCCCAAAGGGGGGACATTTCTCGTTGAAGCATAGTAGATTGTAAATGGGCTGACTCATGTCACCATCATAACTGTGCCTGATCTACAACAGGGAACTGCTGCTTTTTCTTTCCTGATCCTTACTATTGTCCTTTTCCTCTACTTCTTTTGTATGCTTGTCACTCTCTTGTAACCTGCTATTTTGGGGTGCCTTGATAGTCGAAGAAGACCTTTTGCTGTTGAAGCTAGAGAGGTGAGCAGTCTAAGACTGATTCCGTGTAAAGACTTCTCTGTTGACACCCACCCCTTGGCGCTCATATGACCTTATGCAGTTGCGAGCGCCGTAAATCCCTCTACTACTAAAATAAAATACCAGGTGACCAGAGAAAAGGTTCGTCCAAAAGAACGCCGATCAAACCATTACGAAAAAAGGTATAAACGCCAAAGTTTGCATAGACGTGGAACATCCATCCGGATTTATTATGTATTATTAACAACAGAATATTATGACTGCTACATACAAAGTTACACGATATCTTCCAGATACCCTAATATTTCGAGTAATAAATCACACGCTGAGTAAAATTGACGCCAGAGCTGTTCTGGTCTGTTCTGGGCTGTGTGATAAACCGTTGACACTGCTCTGGAGAAATCTCTTTTGATACTTATTGCCTGAATTTGGCTCCTTGGAAAAAGCGAAGGTTTTTGCGCTTATTCTGCCCACTTGCAAATATGCAGCATCACCTGCGTAGTGATACGCGTTGGCGACCACAGTCCTCCACCTCAGTCAGTCAGTCTGTCTGTCTGTCTGTCTGTCTGAATCTCTCTCTCTCTCTCTCTCTCTCTCTCTCTCTCTCTCGCTCTCTCTCTCTCTCTCTCTCTCTCTCTCATTCAGCCACTGACCCTCTCTCTCATTCTCTTTCTATGTCGCTCTCTCCCTCTCCCCCCTCTCTCTCTCATTTACTCTCTC